GCTTCTGAGATAAGGTCTCAGTTACTTTCCCAGGCTGTCATCAAATTCACGATCCCCCTGGGAGTCTAGCTCACAGAGGAGTATCAGCATACCCAATGCCTATATATTAGTGTTTAATATGTTATACTGTCTCCTCCGGAGCATGCCATTAGGAAAGACAACACAGTCTTCTTCCATCTGTTAGGTTTTCATTGTTCGCAGTATGTTTTAATTTCAGAATAAATCCATATATACAGTAGCATAACTGAATTATTAAGTGGGTTACTGTCAAGAAAAACAAGCTATTTATTTATTTATTTACTTACTGATTTTTATTTATTTATTTTTTGGTCAGTCGTGGGGTTTGACCTTAGGGCCTAGATGTTGTCCCTGAGCTCTTCTGCTCAAGGCTAACACAGTTCCACTTTGAGCCACAACTCCACTTCTAGTTTTTGAGTGATTAACTGGAGATGTGTCTCATGGGGACTTTCCTGGCCAAGCTGGCTTTGAACTGTGATCCTCAGATCTCAGCCTCCTGAGTAGCTAGGATTACAGGTTTGAGCCACCAGCGCACCTGGCTACAATTAAGTATTCTTAACACCACATTTAAACCAGAATTTAGGCCAACACAATTAAGGCTCATTATCACAGTCAGTGCATTGAGCCAGGGTATGAGCTAATAGCAAACTGTTGTAACAATTTCAGTCCTCACAATTGCTACAAAGCAGCCTGTGTGCTGTGGCTACTGACACTGTTAGCATAGAATTACCATGCTTTGTGAAATATGGATGAGATTTAGAGCAATTTGTATTATAAAAGAAGTTCTTAGTCTGGAAAGGAACTCTCTGGAGACAAATAGCTCTTCTAGTAATTATTAAGCAGTTTACTTCAGAGAATTGTGAAGATTCCTGACATTTTAGCTACACATTTATTTAATGAAAATAGAGTGTAGTGCATAACTTTCTATACTTGAAATATATGGCTTGTGAAAGCAAGATTTGCAATTTTCAAGTATTTCCATGAATTCAAACATTTTTAATAGAAAAATGAAACTGTTTCCAGAGTTCATAAAACAAAGCGCTAAGATCTAACTCCTCCTACAGTAAGACCAAGCATGAAACACAGGCACTCTAAACAAAGACTTAGAGAATGACTATGTGAGTTAATGGATCAATGAAAGGCCTTAGTCCATCATCCACAATAAACTAAACCCAATAATGGCAAGTGATACCACAAGCCTTTGAGTCCATCAACATCAATACTAGGGTGTGAGATAACAGTGTTTCAGAAGGAATCACGAGTAAAGTGAACCTTAAATTGAGGTCTAAATGATGGGCAGGATGAGTTAAAAAAGATTCAAAACAATACAGAATGATCAAACTGCAAGGGCATGGAGAAACACAGCATGCGTGCGGTTACTGGGGGAACAGTATGATGATACATACTTTTTTCTCATAGTAATCATTTAAGTCTTCATGCTCTAATAGTGCCTTAGGATGGCACTCAAAGACACACAGTAGTCCTGCCTAAGCGATAAGTAGGGTTCCTAAATCACTATCTCAGCAGGAATGCTAGTTTCCTGCACACATGAGGAAAAACATCACTGTTACTTAAGTGAGAACATGTACAACTAAGGGAGGAAACCACCCTCAATTTATGTAACATGGCTAGAGAGGACTGTTTGTACCTAGTGTCCCCTACATCCTTTTCTTCCAGCATTTTTCATTCTAGACCGTAATTGATTCCAGAGTTAAGTCATATATGGAAGGCATATGTTGATTCTAAAATACATAGAGGGGCTAAGGAATGGTATCCATTTACATAAATTACTTGGCTATTAAAGGAAGAAAGCATTTAAAATGTTTATATTGTTTTCCTGACACAAATGAGCCTTGTTTGTTCTTAAGTCTCATCCACAAAATTCCTTTTTAACCCTCTATATCTCTGGAGACATAGCAGTACTAATATAAGAAGAACTATATTCTCTTCACCCTTTGGTATGCCTCTGATGAAGAGCTCCTTGTTTCTCCTCGTGGCCAGATATTGAGAATGACATGGCAATCCAAAGTCATAGAGAAGTCTGGGTCTGGTAAGTAAAGGAAATGGGGTTCTGCTCCCACTGTTAGTACTCATCACTCTTCAGCCTTGATTGAACAAAAGGACTTAATGAAATGTGAGGTTCTCTACTCGTTAAAATTTAGGGTTCTTAATGAGTTTTCACAAAAATCCATGTGTGTATATGTATGCGTATGTGTGTATATGTACATTTTATACACATACACACACACACACACACACACACACACACACATATTAGAAATGAGAGATCACTTCTTTTAAGCACTGATCTTTTTTGTTAGGTTTCCCTGAGGATAAGAAAAAAATATTTTAAATTGTTGAGATTTATTCTGAGTTGCCTTTGGAATCATTTAAACATTGTGAAATATGCAAGTCCTATGCTAGTCCAGCTGCTTAATTTCCCAGAATTATTTATAAATCACTTTTGTTCAATAAGTAAAATTACCTTCCTTGCTAAATTTGAAATTGCCAGACACTTCCAAAATATTTCTGACACTGACAACTGTTCTCTCATTTTCTGTTTCAAGTATGTTCCAAAGCTTCTTTAAGGCTTGTCTCAGTGCCTCAGGGTTCTGATTAAGCATGTATCAGTGGTTTGATTTAGAGCAGACATCATTTCTGCAAATCAGCTTCACAAATATACAGTTCCCAAATTACATCACTATGCACTAGTTGGTCTAACGCAACAGGCATGAAAGCCTTTCACCACAAAGCCTGTAGTGGCGGGAGCCAACACCAGTATATGGCATGGTAAGAAATAACCACTGAGAAATGTCTTTGATTAAAGGCTGAGAGATACTGAAGTTGTTATCCTTATAACAAAAGCCAAATTGTTCTAATACAGAGGCCAAAATTGGATGATCATCAGAATCACCTGGGAAGCATTTTAAAGAGATTTCTGGGCTCTCTGCCCAGCAATTTTGTTCAAAAGACTTTGAAGTTAGAAATCCATAGTTTTTATGAAATTCCTTAGTTAGGAAAGTTTCTCCAACTACCTGTTCGCATAAGATTACTGTAAATGATAGGACCATCCTATAGTTATACAAAATATGAATGTCTCTGGAAGCAAGTTCCTCTTTTTACCCTCTGTTGACTATGACCGAATGGCATTCCAAAGCACTATTGAAATCCCCTCACAGTGATGGCCTATGTACTCGACCCTGATGCCCTATGAAGGGACTGACCATCGGTCCTTGGTTCTCTATCTTATATACCATCTGAATGGGCCAGTTCTGGAGTCTGTACTTCTGATTCAATCTAATGTAAGATATGCTTTGTGTCAGTGTCCTCATCTCTGAAATGGTACAATCAATAGCTGTATAAATCGGAAAATCCTCAGAACATACATGTTAAACATACATGTAGTAACAACAGTTGTTACCACTATACAGCAAGGCTCCAACAAGTAATCTGCCCAAACAGCCCACCATATGAAGCATAGGATATATATTTTAAAACATGTTAATAATGTTCATCGTGTACAGATCTAAGTTTGTATTTCTGAATAAATCTCTCAATCCCATTTAATGAAGAGAAATAGTTATTGGCACAAGGTCTTCTTTTGCATTGAGGTACATAGTGGAATTACAACTCAATGGTCTAACATCTAGCCTGAAAAATACTTCAAATGTGTTTTACCCAAACCAGAGTCAGTGAAACTGTACACAGAGTCCTAACAAAGAGATGAGTGTGGAGAAGTCTGAAACACTTTAGTATAATTACCACAGCAGAAAGAAATCCATCCTTCTCTTAAAAATAATCTAATGCAAGGATAGGTTAGACAAATCCTGGCTTGTCATAGTAACAGATAAATAATCCAGCAATTCACAATCTGTCTGAACATTTATTCTTTTTTTGGTATCCTGCATTAAACACACTATTTTTAAAACACATTGAGCCTTGGCAGATTTCTAAAACTTCAGTGATGGGCTTGCCTATTCTTTAGGTAGTAGTACTATGAGTCACCTTGGTCAGTAGTAACTGACATAAACTCAAAAGTGTATTAAAATAGTTTATTTTCCAGTGAGTATGTACCTCAATCTAAAACACATTGGTAGGTCATTACACTTTTCTCAAAAGCTTTGCATCTGAGCAAGTGAACAATGAAATGATTGTCTAGAACTATGAAGTAATAAATGTATGAACTGAGGCTTATCTTTATTAACACAAGTTTTTCAAAGACATAATTTATCCTGAATTTTCTGCCTATTGAGAGGCTTGATCAAAGTCTGAGTGTATGTATATGTATGGCTTGTATTCCAGTAATTAGGTATTTGTTTTTAAGAAATGTATGTTAACAGCCAAGCACTGGTAGCTCACCCCTGTAATCCTAACTACTCAGGAGGCTGAGATCTGAGGATCATGGTTCAAAGCCAGCCTGGGCAGGAAAGTCCATGAGACTCTTATCTCCAAAAAACCACTCAGAAAAACAGAAGTGGTGCAGTGGCTCAAGTGGCACAGCAGTAGCCTTGAGCTGAAGAGCTGAGGGACAGTTCAGGCCCAGAGTTCAAGCCCCATGACTAATTTTATATATATATATATATATACATATATATATATATATATATATATATATATATATATATATATATATATATATATACTGTTTGAATATATGACCTTTTTGTGGCATGAAATGCAGGTTGTGAAGTTCTAGCTCAAAAGTAAAAATGTAAATTTAGAAAATGAAAATATAGCTTACCAAAGATGAGTTTTGTATTTCCAGATTCAAAATTTCATTTTTGCATTCCAGATAATGGTTATTATTCTCATTTCCAGATATTCTGTCTTAATATGGATTATGACAATAATCCCTAATATGACCAAGGAGGACTCTTCCTTTTTAAAAATATGTTTTGTTGTAATTGCAGAGGTAATATACAGAGGGGTGACAGTTACACAGATAATGATTACATTTCTTTTGGAAAGATGCACAAGAAGGGGAGCCTTCTTGGCCTTTTGGCTAAGATCATGTGTAGTATCTGTTCTTATCAGTGTAATATCTGACACCTCCTCTATCTGAGGAGGACTGCCAAGGACTAATGATTTGTCTAATCTGGTTAAGTTGCCCTCTAATGTAGAAGTTAAATTTTTCTTACCACTTTAGAGCTGTATTTTCAGTCATTATTTTGGTATTTATTTTAGTTCAATGCATAGTTTACCTAAGTTAATCAAGAGGTTAGTTAAACAAAGAAATGAGACTGAGGCAGGGAAATCATCTAAATGAAGTAATTTGTTTAATTTACTGGATAAAATTTCCAATTACAATTGAGTTCAACTGCCCGATTGTCAATGAGCATTCTCCAAGTTCAATATGTGATCTAAGTATAAAAGCATAACATAAATTAATGATATTCTTTCTCATTGTACTAGTATGATATAAGAAGGACACAAGACATTTCTTAAAGCTAACAATCCCAGTTCATTTTCTGGATGAGCAAAGAAAATCAAGTTCTTTTGTCAGCCTACAGCAAGCATCACATTTATGGTCATCATATATTATTCAACTCATGTTTCTTTATTTAAATATTAAATAATTCGCTATTATTTAGCATAAAATAGATGCTGGCTTTATTTTGACTATATGGTACCAAGTTAATATAAAAGAAGAAAATTATGAATTCTCATGACAGATGTCTCACTTCCAAAGGAGAGCAGATTACTTTTCAAAACATATATTTCAAATAGTTTATCTGGTTTTGAAAGCCCTTAACTTCTTCATATAAGGCAATTATTTCAATGAGCGTTTGTCAGTTCCCTTCTTCTATGTAGAAGCCAGCGGCATTCTCTGGCCTCAAAACTGTCTTATGTCCTTTTAGTATACATTTCCCTGACCCAATTCTGTCCTGCCAAGAGCTTCCAACGGCTGCCCAGCAGGGTCTCAGAGTTGACAAGTATAATGCTGAATGAAGCATATATGTGCTACTGTAAGGAAACTAAATTCAAAGGTATCTTTTTCCCTAGAAAAATCCTGTCATCTTGTTTTTCATTTGTTTAGGCTTATTTTCCCCAAGAGTAAGGCTAACTATAATAGCCCGACTGATGACATTACTTGATACTGAAATGAAAAAGTATAATGTGTCCTAATTCCCATTGGGAAAAGAGGACTATCAACAACTATAAGCATAACTGATGCAGTATGGGAAAAATATTTACTAAAACCACATTACTCAGTATGAGTCATTCTCTAATGACAACTTATTAATAAAGTCTAGTCTAGCACTTAATGGTATCTTCTATATTCTAATAGAAGCACCTCAAATGAACACACACACACACACACACACACACACACACACACACACACACACACTTTTCTAAGGCAGCAGTCCTTTGAATCAATGATTACGCATCATGGAAACTACGTCCTCATGATGAATTTCCTCCAGCTATTCATTCTTGCCATATCCTGCACAGTTCTATAAGGTATGTACTTTAAAGCCAATGTATCTTTTTAAAACGTACTATTTACTTAAGATAGAAGGGGACCACTGGATTTAGAACTATGGTTTCAAAGAACCAATTTCCTTTGCTGCTTAATTTATTTTTGTGATCTTCTCCAGTCCCAAGAACCCTGACAAGTTCAAGAATGAAAAGTCCTGGAAATTTTCCAGAATTGAGGTAGAATTTTGATCAGTATTAGCTTGTATCATACTTGCTTATTTAAAGGGTGTATTAATACTTCCCTGTCCCATTATGTTCCTTCCAGCAAATCTCAAAATACAGGTGTAGATGGCATATAAACATGAATTATGTGTGTCTACAGTATACGTCATATATCACCTCATCTCTCAAATCCATCACCCTTTCTAGAAGCATCCTACTACTAACCTATTCCTTTCTTTCAGAGTCTAGCTGACCTCTGTAACCCTTTCTTACCTTACTAAACAATAATCCAAACTAAATTATCACAGAAGTTATTTGACTTAAACTTGTTCTATCGTCTCTTTGGCAGTGTTAATATTCTTCCCCTGGACCTCTTTATCCTTCTTTTGTCTAACAATTATCCTGCTCTGAGAAAACCTCAATAATTCCAGTTAGAGCTACCTGGTAGATTTCCACAGGTGCTAAATATTTCTCTTAAAATTTTGAAAAGGTGAACTGGAGAAAATGAGATCCCTCTCTTCCTAGAATATGGCCTAGATAGAATTCACAGAAAGCAGCATGATACCTACAGAGTTCAAGGCAGGGATATATGGTGCTGTCATTTTTAAGTCTGTTTTTTTATTTGTGGATTTGAAATGTTAGAACAATGAAGAGTTTGATTTTTTATTTGTGGATTTTGAAATGTTAGACATCACCTGGATATTTCCCGCACCTGGTTAGGTATTTGAATGTGGAGCTCAAGGGAGGAGAAGACTTGGAAATACACATTTTGGAGTCACTAGCATACATTTTAGAGTCATTAGTACTAAGGGACTACATTTTTAAATTAAAGTGGTAGCATTCTTTTGGAATTTTAGAAATTTATTTTAAAGGTTTTGCTGTTTATAGGTACTCCTAAAATTCAGTTCATGGAAACTAAGATCACCAGACTAAATGCTATGAGAAGAAAACTTATTTGTGTTTTTAAATATATCTAAACTATAATTATAAACATTCATGTATATATTCATGTATGTATTCATGTATGATTTTACTATGTATCTTATTTTCTTCCAGAAATACAACTATTATGGATATCAAGCAAAGATTAACTTTGTTGTTATTGAAAAAATCACCATTGATCACAGTTTTGGAAAACCATGTCATCAGTGGTGAGATAGCACTTTTAAAAGTCAACATTAAATACAATATTTCATTAGTTTGCATTTGTAGAGGACAGGTTCACATATCTGCAACATTTTCTTATGTCTTTATGTACATCTGTATATTTCATGTCTTCTAGTATAGATGAGTCTGAGAATTTGCAACTCAATCATGGTATTTCATTATACATGATGATTTCTGCAATGTAATTCAATATAAGAAAGTATGTAGATAAATCAAATTTTTGTGTGTGCAAGTACCAGGCCTTGAATTCAGGGTCTGGGTGATACTCCTAAGCATTTTTTCTCAAGGCTACCACTCTAGCCACAGCTTTCCTGGCTTTTTGGTGGTTAGAGATAAAGGTCACATAGACTTTCTTGCCCAGGCTGGTGAACTGTAATCTTAAGATGTCAGCCTCCTGGGTATCTATAATTACAGGCATGAACCACTAGTGCCTGGTTCAAATTTTTTATTTTAATCTTAAGAGGTTAAAGGAAGAATCACAAGAGTGATCTTGGGTCTAATCACAAAATGTTGATTATATAAACAGGTTTTAGGTCTAATAAAACGGAGCTATGGAGTAAACTGACTGAAGAAGACAAGAGGATGGAGCTCCGAGGCAATCCAACATTTCACAGTGAGGAATATGACTAGTGTAGTAAGCAGCAGCCACGGGGCTCTGACAAGAACAGGAAACTATGATATTTTAAAAACCAGGCAAATAAAAATATTTAGACAGAAGCATCTAATTTGTTGTGGCTCAAGTTAGATAATGACTGAGAAGTTTACTCATGGATCAACTTAGATGAGGAATGAGAAGCAAACATTATACTCAGCTGAGAAAGAGCTCACAGAGTCTTTGAAACAGCTTCAGGTGACTGACAGTGGCAAAAGCTGGACTTGGGGTAAATGGAAAGAAAATGCGAAGTAATAGGGACTAGATTTATCTTCCCCCATGAAAGAATAAAAATAGATGAAATATGTACAAAGAGGTCTGTACGTGGTTTTTTGTTGAGGCAGTTTAAACTCAGGATGGTCTTGGTTACAGAAGAACTGGACTAGCAAATACAATTTTTTTACATTACTTTCTGGCTGAGAAAACAAAGCCACTGTGAACTGTGAGACTAACATATCATTTTCATTGAACAAAACAAGAGGAGAAAATAGATGAATATTTTGACAATAAGCAAAGTTACTTTATAGTAAAACATTAAGTCTAGAAATACAGTAAGGAATTTGCCAGATACTTCATATTTGGAGTGTCTAGAAAAATTCAAGATAAACGAGTATACTCAACTAAGAAAAACATTATTAGATTAAGCAGCAAATAAAGAACAGTTGATAGCTTTACTTTAGCTAGAGTAAAGAGTAAAGAATACAAACAATGGCTTTTGGCGGCTCTGTCTCTTCTTTTGGTGACACTGGGCTTTTAACCCAGGGCTTCCTGGGGTCTGTGTCTGGAACCATGCCACTTTAACTGGGGGAATACAGTGGTAAGAGCTCAGCCTAGCAAGCACAAGGACCTAGCTCAGACTCCAGTACCACCAAGAGAAAGAAAAAAAGCTTTACTTAAAAGCATACAATATTCTTTAAAATATATAACTCAAATATCAGTGATCCCTTATTCTTGGCTGTTTCTATGGAGTTCATGTTGGAAAGATAAAGAATATAGCTGTTTGGGAAAGCAAGCTAACTGTTGAGTGACATTTTACATGCTTCTGGAACAGTCTCCATGACCCTTTGTACCCTATGAACTCATCTGGGAAGTCATGTAGATTCCCACCTGAAGGAAAGTCAACAGGGCACCCACACAGCTGTGTTCTGCTTCCAATGTGGTGATTGTAGGTTCAAATAAGTCATACTCTGAACACTGAAATTCACCCAAATAATATAGGAGCAATTCACTCAAACTGCAGGTCACTGTCGTCTGAATATAGTTCTATAAGTGACCAAGAAGAAAATGTCATTATATGGCACTATTAATCTAGGGTCGGTTTACCTAATTGGTAAATATACAGAGTGCCTCATATGATGGGAGCCATGGTCTTCTGTAGGAAGGAAGCACCAAACCTTCTTGTTTGTTCTGAGTGGTATTTCTAGCACATTAAAACACTGCAGCAGCATTAATCATTCTCTTTGGGCATTGAGAAAAGCCTGTTTACAAACACAAATAATAGTTTTGAGAGTAGAGGACTACTCAGCAGAATGATGGTCAATGAAAGAAACTTGAATCTTGATTTACTGGGCAACATCAGCAAGATGGCTGAGGAGAGGAGCCTGATACACTTGCTTCCATTAGTAAGGTTCCCCACCTTCAGTGTGTGATGGAGAAGGCCAGAGTGCAGCTAACATAGGGTAGCGAGGCCACAGAGCACTCAGGCTCGGGAGGGCCTT